CCTCCTTGTGTCCCCCCAGCTGGGCCAGCTCCCTCAGGACCCACACTCAGTGGCAGCAAGGGGACACACGGTGGCAGTGGGACCTCCCTGCAAACGGTGGTGGCAATAGGAGCTGTGCAGGTGACACTGGGAGGACCCAGGGGGGCACCCAGGCAGGTGACAGTGGTGGGGTGGGGACTCCTCTGGGTGACAACACGGGGACCTGAGGTGGTGGGACCCCAGGCAAGTGGCAGTGGTGGGACCCCAATGAGCTGCAATAGTAGGAGCCCCAGCAGTGGGACCTGTGGTGGCAGTAGGACCCAGGTGATGGTGGTGGGACCTCCAGCAGCAGGACCCACACAGGTGATGGTGGTGGAACCCTCAAGAGCCACATGGTGGCATTGGGACCCCCATGAACTATAACAACGGAACCCCAATCAGCAGCACCCATACAAGTAGCAGTGGTGGGACCCCCATGAGCCACCCCAGGAGGACCCACAACAGCAGGACCCACGCAGGTGATGGTGGTGGGACCTCCACAATCCACCCCAGTGGGACCCCCAGCAGCAAGACCCCCAGCAGCAGGACCCATGGTGGCAGGAGGACCCACACAGGTGACACTGGTGGCACCTCCCTACCCAACGTGGTGCAGGACTGGGCAGTCCTGGAGCCAACAGGCCCCATGGCAGTGCCACTGTCCCCCCGAGCCCCCCCAGCCCATGGGGTCTCACCAGCTCTGCACCAGCTGCACCGAGGGGGTGCGCAGCACACGGTCTGGCAGCAGGTTGATCTCCTTCATGATGTTGGAGAGACGCACGGGCAGCTCCTGCCGCAGGAAGGTGAAGGAGGTCTTCTCACAGGCATTGCTGGAGCCTGCAGGGTGAGGGGACACAGGGTGAGCCCCCACGGGACACCCCCAGACCCACGGGTGGTGTCACTCCTGCTCCTCTGCTGGAGTGGGGCAGAGGGGGCTGGAACACATCCTGCTCTTGGATGGAGGGGACTCTGGAAGGGGTGGGAGGCACTTGGGGTCACTGGGGCGAACTGGGAGAGCTGGGGCAGTGGACACAGGAGCAGGTCCCTATCCTTAGCTGAAGGAGGGCCCTGGAAGGGGTGAGAGGGCTAGGAGGCACTTGGGGTCACACTGGGGGAAACTGGGAGAACTGGGGCAGTGGATACAGGAGCAGGTCCCTGTCCTTAGCTGGAGAAGGACCCAGGAGGAACTGGGGGGACTAGGAGGACTAGGGCAGAGAGAACAGAAACAAATCCATGCCCTTAGCTGGAGTATGACCCTAGACAGGTGGGATGGACTGGGGGGACACTGGAAGGACTGGAGCAGAGACAGTGTCCAGTACCACCCAGTACAGCCCAGTAAACTGGGGCAGTTTGGAGGGCAGGAGAATCTGGGCCACTATCAGAAGAGTGACTACACCAGCAGAAGGGGAAGACCCCTCAAAACATACCTAGCAGGAAACTATTCCAGCCCCACTTCCCTAACCTCGGGGAGGGGCAACACCCCCCAATAAAAACGGGGGATTTAGGAGGAGAAAAAGTTACCCAGGCCTGGAGCAGAGATCAGGACCCCCCCAGACATTTATTTACGAGCTGGGGGGAAGGATTTCCCAGGGATAGGAAGAGGATTAACCCGCAGGGGAGGGGAGGAATAGGATTTCCCAGGAGGAGGAATAGGATTTCCCAGGGGGTGTGCACGGAGCTCCCTCCCCGCTCAGCC